AAAAAGTGACCATTTTTTGCTCGTTTTTGCCACACACACACACAGGAACACTCTACAAGCCTCCTAAGGGCTATTCATGCCCCTTTTTTGAAAAGAAAATGGACCTGTTTTTGCAAAAAAACGGGCCATTTTTAGGAGGTTTGCAGAGTGCAAAAACTTTTTTTTTCTAATTTGCCTCTTCAAAACCTTGGTGTGTCTTATACTCTGGTATGTCTTATACTCCGAAAAATATGGTACTTCCCTTTCAGTCATTAAGTGGATCACCATGGTTGTTAAGCAAAATATCCTGTGACCTTGTCTTGTTTTGAGCTGATTGTAAAGCATTCAAATGGCAGTCATATGACCACAGGACAGTGTGATAGTTATAAATGTGCACTGGTTGAAAAAGGACAGGAATGATGTTGGCATGACTGTGGGATGCTGCAATGGTTATAAATACAAGGATTGGTTGCAAAACTATATGCAGTGTGCATGTGTGTGTGTGTATGTGTGTGTGTACGTACATACACACACTTATACACACACACACAGCCATTTTTATATATATATATATGTTTGTGTGTATATATACACACACACACACACATACATACATACATACATACAGCCAGCCAACTTCTTCTAAAGTTCCAAATTTGAGGTAATACAACTATGTCCTTCCAAAATGTTGTTGAAAGATCTCAGTTCCCATAAAATGGGTTATATAAAATGTTAGATAACTGCACAGTTGTGATAATTGCATTTTCATTTTAAAGCTCAATACTTATTTTAGAAACATAGTCAGCTGCCAAAATAGGTTGGAGGGGGGAGGATTCAACGTTATAAACACCTGACCACATATAAGAAAATGAATTTACATGCCAACACTAATGGTCTGCCTGCTTATTAACAGTCCTTGGTTTGATATTGAAGAAAATAGGCATTCCCATTTAAACTTTAGACTTCAACATTTCTCTCCTATTTGCCAAGATTGTCTTATAAAATACAGGTAGTCCTCACTTAGTGATCACAATTGGGACTGACACTCTAGCATTAAGTTCAGTGGTTCCAAAGTGGAAAATCACATTACCACATAGGCTTACGAGCTTACCGTATTTTTTTGGAGTATAAGATGCACCTTTTTCCCTCAAAAAAGAGGCTGAAAATCAGGGTGCATCTTATACACTGAATACAGCATTTTTTGCCTCCAGAAACTCCACCCCTTCACCAAAATGGCTGTGCATAGCTTGTAGGAGGCTTTCAGAGAGC